GAGACACACACACACACACACGCCGGCTGCAGCAGCAGAAGGGGTGAAGCAGGTCAGCCGCATGATGTAAATAACCAGTTTAAATCTAATGACGGCGGTGACTGAACAGAGAGCAGAAACCAGAGTCTGAACACCAGGACGGAGAGAGAGGAAGGAAAGAAATGAAGAAAAAAAAAAAGAGAAAAGTGAAAGAGAAAAGAGAAGTGACAGTTAAAATTAAATGTGGCCTATAGAAGGTGACGGTAACACAGGATGTGACAAAGTGAAAGTTAAGGGTGCATAAGAAAACCACAAGAGAGAAATATTCGCAATTTAGGGTATGGTTTCCTTTTTATAGGACCCAAGTGTGCAACTGAGCAGGTGAAGCAACAATATTAATTTATTTCTATTCTACATGTTGAAGTTCAAGAGCTAAAATAAGACTAAGAAAAACTTGCTATAAAGCAGAATATATAATAATGGAAATATTATTGGGTCTGTCGAGAAAATGGTTTGATTCCAGCTCAGACGCAGATGAAGATAGTCGGTAAGCAATAGGACTTCAGTGTGTTGTGTGTGTGTGTGTGTGTGTGTGTGTGTGTGTGTGTTGTGTGGTGTGTGGTGTGTGTGTGTGTGTGTGGTTGCGTGCGTTGGCTAATAGGGTTGGTGGAGGGTTATTGAATTAGTCCTGCAGACAGCTGAAACACTCAGAGAGGCAGAGGGGTGAGTTTGGGTTGAAACAATAAGGGCAGCATGTAACAAAGAGGAGAAAATGGAGGAGAGCAAGGCAACGAGAAAAATCAGATAAAAAGAGGAGTGATGACGTAAAGGAAAATATAAGAACAAAAGGAGGAAAACGAGAACAGTAAATGATAGAGAAAGAAGACCTGGAGTGAATGAATGCAGTGCCTCAGAAAGTGTGTGTGTGGTGTGTGTTGAAGTTCAGGTTGGCCAGTACTCTCTCTCTCTCCCTCTCTCTCTCTCTCTGTGGTTTTGGGGGTTAATCGAGTTATCAGAGAGGACAGCTGAATGCTCAGACTGAGGCCTGTGTCACCCACTGAAACAGCAGCGCTTTGTTGGCCCATTTAGTCTTCATCCTCATCTTCACCCCACCCTCACTGCAGACCTTCAGTCGGGAGCGAAGGTCCGGTCACGGAGAGGTTGACGGAGGAGGAGTGAGAAGGTAAAGTAAGACAGCACTGCGTCGTTCCACTCATACTGGATATCTGACGTACGCTGCTTAACTAAATTACGTTTCTCTGTTGAGTCTGTCTCTCTCTGGGTCTTCTCTCTGTGTCTCTCTCTGTGTCCTCTCTTCGTGTCTCTCTCTGTGTCTCTCTCTGTGTCTCTCTCTGTTCTCTCTCTGTGTTTTCGGTCTCTTCTGTGTTCTCCTCTCTGTGTCTCTCTCGGTCTTCTCTTGTCTCTCTCTTTGCTCTCTCTGTGTCTCTCTCTCTGCCAGCAGTGGGGCCCGAGGTCAGAGGGCGAAGGTCAGTGCTTTGACTGACAGCATGTCACGACCGGGAAATTGAACAACAAAACCCTGATAATGATACGCATAATAACCGTCAGGCATATAGAGTGAGACTGCCACAGCAGAGTAAATCTGTTTCTCAAGGCAGAAATCGATACAGCTTTATATCTGTACATTTTCATAATAAGACAAATATTCAGTATGTCCTGAAGACTCTTCTTAAAAACGACAGTTTGGACATCATGGGGCACTAAACTTTTCCAGTGAAAAGAAATTACAAGATGAAGGAGAAGATGAGAAAGGGAAAAAAAGAAAATCTGATTAAAATGACAAACCGGCAATGTTGTGTTACTCAGATGGGCCTGTATAAAATCAATCTGAATCCTGTCAGACTGGAGCAGTTTGAGATTCCCCTCTTCCAGACAGACAGACAGACAGACAAAAGGTTGACAGACATTGGGGACACCTCTGGGGTCAGTGGTTGAGACTGTGTGTGTTTGTGTGTGTTTGCTCACTTTGCAGAGGAGATGATGAGTGATGAGTCTTTGTAGGCGATCAGGTAGCTCTGGTTCTCTGGGTTGTGGACTGTCACCTGCATGTACACAGAAAATTACTTATTTTCCACCTATAATTTCTGCAACTGTCTGACTTTTCATTTTTGGAGATTTACTGGTGAACAAAATTAATCAGGTACGTTTTAAATGCTTAGATTGTCGACAAGAAATCAAGTTTACTACATTTTATTTAGGGAAATAAGTGACAAGAGGAGGAAGACTGGTGGGAGAATGATTGTATGTGGCTGCAGAAGGTTTGAGTTAAACGTTACAGGAGTTTGTTGTTGTTTGTGGCTGTTGGTTCTTAAGGGTCCAAAGATTGAACCTGACCTGAAACAAACCTGTGATTTATCAACCTAAAGCTAAATCTGAGGTGAACCTCTCTCTCTCTCTCGCTCTGAAAATTGGGTACAGACCAAACAGACCTCAACAGTCCCCAAAGGAAATCGGGTGCAATTCCAAAACAATATCAAGGTTTTTCACAAGGTTCATTTCACACTCCAAAAATGTCTGACGACTTCTATATATTGCAAACTTAAAGCAGCGCGATATGTTGCAGTTTTGTTTTTTAAATCTAATTTTAGGAAAACTGTTATAGTATTAAAAAAAACACACCGGCCTATGCATAAAATTTTTACAAACAGTTTACTTTTTCTGATCAGGTAAGACGGATCTGTATGTGTAGTTATTAACAGTCCCTTTCATTTTTATATTCCCCAACGGTATTCTGGCGAGACCCGCCCTACTCTGCCTCTGATTGGCTAATGTTTGTGGTTTTTTTGGTTTGGTTGGTTAGGTTTAGGCATGCAGAGTGCAATGGTAAGGGTTAGAGACACTGTAAACACATAGGTGACTGAAAATGTCCTTGTTAAAATGAATTTAAGAAACATCAAAATAAGTAGGGTTGTGCTGAATCAGGGTCCTGGCACCTGTTTTACTCAATTCAGGCAGTGCTACATCCTGCTGGTTCCAATCACATCTTACTCTTCCACTTACACAGACTTGAAAATAAATAATTGAGCCTGACAATAGTCTATTACAGTAGATATAACAGGCTACAGTCTGTCGCACTTACACTCTCCAGCACCCGTAAACACCTCTCAGCTCCCCACAGAGACGACACCAGTTTCTCCTTATCATCCTCCTGGTTTAAGTTATTGACACACTCCTTCACTGTGAAGACAGAAATAAAAAACAGAATAATATCAGAATATCAGAAACCAGACTATCATTTTCTTTCTATAATTTTTGAGTCAATTTAAATTCTTTATAGTTTATTTAACCTTTATCTACTATGTGGTCCAGTCCTCCCAGTAGCCGCAGTTCCTCTTTGAACCAGTCTCCCGCTCGCTTTGAAGTCAGAGACAGTAACGTCTCCATGGCTAAGTGACCCGTCTACAGGGAGAGAGAAGGGACAAAATGAGTCAGCTTAAAACCTAAACTGTCTTATGTATCGGTTTACACTGTAAAACAACCCAGAATGCACTGCAGCGGCAGTACAGACTGTTTCCTGTGGCTGTACAAATTCTCTGATGGATTTTAGAGTGTATGGTGTAAAATGGCGACTCTTGATTGTAAGAGACATCAAAACCTGATCTTTACTGTAAACATTTTAGATCCTTCTAAGATTTCAGCTTCACTGGAGCTGCTCGAAATATCTCGACACACGTAGGTGGCTGTGAGTCATACTGACTGAAGAGCTGCTAAAAGAATATCATTAGTCAGAGGTTTCAGTGGAGAGGTGTAATCGTCTAAATGTTGTTTCAAGGCTTTTCAACGCTGACAGTTCTGCAGGAAACACCGAGTACATAATGAAAACGATACAGCGGACTTCGTGTTTAATAAAAAGTACCGTTATGTTCTGTAGATCCAGGTGCTTGTTGTGCACGGTGTCACAGAGCTTCCTGATCTTCTCCTTCATCTTGGCGATTTCCCTGGCGCTGAATTGAGCGCCGGTGGAGTCCGTCACGGCCTTGCCACCCTGGTCCTGGTCCTGGTCCTGGTCTTGGTCCAGGTCCAGCTCCAGCAGCCGGATCATTAGGTCCAGACATGACCGGTCCAGATCCATGTTTAACCGGTCTCTACTGAGGATGTACATCAGAGACGCCGTGCACAGGGCCAGGTTCTGCAGAGATGAGACAGAATAAATTCATTACAATATAGTTAAATAAATCCACATTTCTCAAATTCAGTTCTGAGATTTGTCCAACGACTTCACTTCAATATCATTTCAGAAAGTTCTTATTATTATTATTATTATTATTATTATTATTATTATTATTATTATTATTATTATTATATCTTAGAGATAATGGTTTTATTTTAAGAACAATTTACTTTGTTAAACCACCAATATAAATGGCTTGGTCATGTATTTCAGAATTATTGCGTGGATTTTCAACTTTGGTGAACTCGAACTTGAGGCAAAGTAGCCTCAAACCAACAGCAAAGACGTGTGGGGTTGACCGTGACAAAATAATCAATAAAGCAGGACTAAATGACAACAGTCATGTTTGATTTGAGCAAATGTATCTAATATTGCTGTTCGTGTTGTTCTCCTACTATAGTTCCCATCTGGGGGAGAGTGAATGTACGTTTAAATCCTCTGTACTGGCTGATCCTTACCGGGTGTTGCGGGGCATCATTAAGTGTTTTGAAGACCTGAGCCACCTTCCCTCTGGCCCTGAGGTGCATCCTGAAGCCGGGCATGGCACAGCGCGTAGCCAGGCTGATCACACTGAAGACACAACACACACACAGACACACACAACAGCAAATGATAAATTAAATATCAAGATATTCTTTTCAACTACTTTAGAGTAGAAGTTTAAGTAAGCTAAATCCAGGATCTTACCTAAGGCAGCGTGTGTTGAGAGGTTGTCCACTCTTCAGACCGGTGGCCAGATACTCAAAGTCATCAGTAAACTCCTGGTTCTCTCCAAACTCCACCACATCATTGAAGTGCTTCACATGCTGGACGACTGTATACAGCTGGAAAACACAGGGGCAGGGGTGAATGGGTGGAATATGTCCAAAAATACCGTTTAGAAAACATTTTCCTATTAATATGATTGTAGTCAGTAGAGAGCGACAAGGGATGTGGGAGAGGGCGCGACATGTAACTAAGGTTCGAGACTTTACAAACTCTGCACTCAAGGCTGAATTTGAATAAACCTCGTGGTCTACCAGTAAAGTGCCTCACACATCACAGGATAGACAAATGTCTCTCCAAGTGTTTATGGCAGCAGAAAAGAGACATTTTCAGTTTTAGGATAAGTCAAACAATTCCATGTACCTCCTTGTGCTCCTTGCGGCATTTGAGTGCAGTGACAGTGTCCTGGTAGAGATCTGTGGGGAGGGTGACACACTTGGTGACCTTTGGAGGAGGGGGAGGAGCCTTAAAAACGCCGTCGTCCTTCTGAGCATCGGTGGGCTCCTTACTGGATCCTCCTGCAGAGACTGGTGCCTACAGAGATGAAGGAGGGTTGGTGTGAAATGAGGAAAAAACAAATCTCATTTTATGATATAAATACATATATGTAAAGGTGTGTCTGTGTGTGTGTGTGTGTGTGTGTGTGTGTGTGTGTGTGCTGTGTGTGTGGGTGTGCTGTGTGTGCTTGTGTGTGTGTGTGTGTGTACTTTACAGGAGCGGTCTGCTGATCGTGAGAAGAAAAGGGGAGGGAGGGGCGCTCCTCTTCATTCTCCACTGTCCAGTGTCTGGCCGTTGTACACAAGCTTTTGGGTGGGAGACTGAAAGGTGAACACACAAACAGAAGCCAGATATAACTTCACTGACAGTGGAAGCGCGAGATGGGACAAATGTCTCCAAGTAAGAGCCGGCAGAAAAACATCTTTCAACTGGCCATGAAAAAGGAAAAAAACACCACACTGGGTAGGGCCCGTGATGGGTGGTGGGTCGGTGTCATTGAGGAAATCACCTGCTAGATTGCCTTTTCTGTTTTTACCTGTCTGCAGTTTTGGCCCTTATTGCTAATGAGGGGGGGGGGGTGACACCAATAGGTTCACTTTGAAGTATTCTATTAAAAGGTTTATACATATTATGAGATTTAACAAGATTAATATTATGAGCAAACTTTTTGCTAATGTACAGATTAGTTGCGAGTCATTTGTTCGGCGTGTTTCTCATTTAACTAACCAGCGTTAGTTGATTGGGTTGGCAAAGACTAAACAGATAATGGTTTTATTTTTATTTCAGTCCGGTTTGAAGTTGTTATTCACAGTTATTACAAGTTACTGTTCTGGCAGATGGAGGTCTGGGTGGAGCGCGTCCCACTGTTTTGGGTCCAAGATGTGGTGCTCTTAGGTGCCAACATCGCTATTGGAACCAACTCCTGAAACTATTGTCGATGGTTGGCATGAGGGTGCAGAGAGGGAAAAGAAACAGTAAAGGAGAAAGAAAAGAGGTGAAGCAGAAAACGAAAAGAACATAACTTGGATGCACATTAAACTGGTTGAGAGTCGCCAGCACTGATTAAACAGCAGGAACACCACACACACACAACACACACACACACACACACACACCACACAAACACAACAAACACACCACAACACACACACACTCCCCACACCACCATCCACTTCATCCTATTCAATCCTTGGCCTCGGTCTTCTGCTCCGTCTCTAGATTGTTTTTGCAAACTGTGGTGGTTGGTGGTTGCCGGGGCATTTCATAATTGAAAAACAAAGGAGGGAAGGCAGGCAAGGAGAAAGAGAAAGAGAATTGGGCTGTAGAGCAGGAGACTGAGGACGCCCGCGTGTGTGTGTGTTGTGGGGGAGGAGGCTGACCACGGGTTTAATAAGCAGAGGGACAAAAGAGATTTGGGGAAGAGCTGGAACATGAAACACACCGAGATTAAAGCCTTCCTGCAGTAATCTGAATGACACAGGACGGACAACCCTTTCACCTTCTCCAACCGCCCCGGGGGCACCTGGCCCCGGTTAAGTCCTATGCGCATGGCGGAGATAGTGAGAGTGGCAGGGGTAATGGTGGTGCATGGGCGATCCTTGCTGGGTGGTTCTGCCCCCCCAGAAAAAAAAACATAAGATGGATTGTTTTGGCATTGTGGGTGTGCGTCAACATCAAACTGCCTCCTCATTGGACGACAAGCTTGGGAACGGGCAGTTTCCCCCATTAAGTTATTGATTTTGCTCAATCCAATTATTTATTAACTGCTTTTGGACCAAGCAATTATATGATGATCATATAATTGAATCTTTCTATACTTTATATGGCTAAAAACGCTGTTCTGAGAACTCTATCGATTAAACACATCAAAGTCAGTCTGGAGGAGCACTAATGAGCCCGAGGAAACATTTCTATAAGGTGTCCTGCGGCTCTTGGAGAGAAAGCCTGTGTTACAAACATCATGCAACCAAGAGAGGAAAACCTCTGGAGTGGAAACATTGTGCCCTAAAAGTTATACAGGATACTATGACAGTTGTTACATCACCTTGATCAAAATGCCAAAATCTAGTAGTGAATGATGAGTCAGATTTGTATTTTTATTCTTTGGACACTTTTTGTATTTTTGAGGTGTGACTGCTTGTGTTGTAGACAATATTCAACATCTTTTCTTCAGTCCAAAGAAAATATGTCTTTATTTTATTGTGTCAAAAAACTTTTGACACAATAAAATAAAATTTCTTGGCGCCGTATTTCTTGGCATATGGGCACCAGTATTGAAAAATTTTAAATCTGATCTACAAACATGATGGACAGATGAATAACGAAGAGAAAGTAATATTTTCCTCTCTTTCCTTGTGGGACGACAAACACACATTAATGGTACGTCAGTGAAAAGAGCCACACTGGAGCTTTGGAGAGGGTCATTGTTATGGAAGTAATAACTGCTCGTCCCATAAAAAAAAACTTTCCCCAAATAAACCCAAACACTATCTCCTAAATATGGATGAGTCTGTCTAGGCGCTGTCATTATGGCAACATCTAATATCTCCCAGTGTCCTCCGCGGAATAACCTCACAGAGCTCCGACACAGTTTACTGTAATTGAGGCACAGTTTTGATAACTCCTCCGTAGGCCGGTCACTTCCAAGGGCTATTGTTTTTATAATGAGCTCAGCTTGGCCCTCACTCACAATTATGTTAACTGAAGACGGAGTGAGAGAGAAAAAGAAAGTATATTAGAACAAGAAGGGAGGGGGTGAGGTAGAGAGCGTTACTCGGGGAGGTGGAAAGTAAAGCCGAAGTGGTCAAGAGGAAGTGATGGAGACAGAAAGGAGAGCACATTATTAAAGTGAGAGGGAGGAAAGTTATGGTGAGAGTCAGGGCATGAAACTGGAGAACAAGAGAGAATGAGAGAGCACATTAAGTACGTTATTATGCGCCTATGGGCGATGTGTCTGCTAATACTATAATAGCTGGTGTGCGATGGGCAGATGCAGAGGAAATTAACTTTACATTCAGCTCTTGAAAAGTTCCCTGCAGGTGCTGAGAGAGAACTTCACAACAAAGTTATCTCTGCTCTACCAACGCTTCTGACGAAGACACGGAGCCTGAAGTTAGCTTACGGGGGCGCTACTTCAGAGTAAAAGTTGTGTAAACTGTTCAAATGTTTCTGTTTTAGAGGTTAGTGAAGTTTTAAAAATGCCTTTTTTTTTCCAGAGCTACTGAAGTAGGTGCCTTTAAACCAATGAAACAGTTAACTGGCAGTGAGAACAAGCAACAAACTGTCCTGATATGTTATATCCATGATTTCCAGACAGATTTCTTGTTAATGTGATTATAAAAGGCTTTATATTGTTTCCTCTTGAAGCCAAAAGTAATTGGTTGAGAGGAGGTCATGTGATTCAGCCTATTTGGCGACACCTGAAGTTGCCCAACGTCGTCCTGGATCCATACAAACCACCTGTGTTTTAAACCACTTAGTCTATGTTTCACAATCCACACATATCTGTATTTCTGTCATCAGAATGTGTATATATTGTGATTTTGTTGGTTTGCTCTATTGTATGTCTACTCGTCCTGGGGAAGAGATCCCTGCTCTGTGGCTCCTACTGAGGTTTTTACACAGTTTATTTTTGTTTTACCTTACATAATTTGAGGGTCTAAGGGCAGAGGGGCATTGAATGCTGTACATATTTTAAAGCCCCATGAGGCAAATTGCGACTTTGGGATATATAAATAAAATTTGACTTGACTATGACAAATATTTTCTTGTACCGGGTCTGCTTCTCCTGCTCCCGCAACTCCAGCTGGAATCTCCTCAACATTTATGCAACAACGAAGTCTCAACTTCTAACTTCTAACTATACAGGTCAGGTCAGTCACAGATACAATGTTGGTTTTAGTATTTTTTGGTTACTAGCGCAGTGCTAAACTTTTGTTCTTTGATTCTATGAAAACCCTCTAAACCGAAGATTATTTAATTGCAAAATGATTTTTTCCTGTGCAATAATAGTGGAGAAGAAAAATATAAATAATATGCAAACTGCAGTTTACACACCAGAGGCACTGACTTGTGTCTACATTACTATGTTCCAGCTAATTCCCATCAGTGAAACTAATTTAAATTAAGGAATTAGTCTCTCAGCTACAATCATTCCCCAAAAAGTTAATAAATGCAGCAAACTTAAAAACAAAACAACAACACACATTTAACCAGCAGCTGTGATGAAGAGAGGCCTTGCAGAGTTTAAAACAAACACAGCAAACTACTGAAACTGCACTGAGATCTCATTAACAGCATTATTACAGCATAGAGTAAAATCAAATCATTAGTTCAATCCAACTTTTCCACCTGATGTAATGCTTTAGTTGCAGCACGAGTTAAATATAGCTTCAAGTAGGAAACGCTGACAATCCGTATGCACTAAATATGAGTTACTTAAGTTTCTGCTGGTCTGGATTGATGACATTGATTTGTCTCTACTATAAAAAGGCTCCGGGCTCTTATGAAATCAACATAGTCTGATATCCAGTCAGCGCAGGCCGAGAGCCGGGCAGCGACAGGCCATTAGCACGCCGATAAATAAAAGAGAAGCAGTTCAGAGATGTTCAAAAGACGACTCAATCCCTCCTCTCACCCAGCCATGAATAAACCAGAGCCGACTCCTCTGCTCTGCCCACACGCACTCACACTCGCTGCTGAGTCACACTGGGTGTAGGCGGACGGTCCGGTCCCCACAGGTACGCGCTGATCTCTTTTTGAAATGTAACGAGGGGAGGTTTTACAGCTGGGGATTAAAACATTTGATCGGAGTGCTTTATATACACAGAATGACACAGATATACTAAAACATCGTTCCCAATTATTTTATAAACTGAAGCTGTAGCATTTGGTAAAGGTTATGTTTGAAAATCGACTGTAAATTTCCATCTATTACCGTTTTATTTTAGGCTTTATCGTCACACCATTTGTGAAAAATACATTGTACTGAATTCCTTTATATCATCATCATGTTACACCTGACTCTGCTCTGAGACACCAGCTTTCAAGTTTGATCCAATTGAATTGAACATTGAGATTAGCACGTTTTAACTTTGTAAATACCGACTTGTTAAGTGTGTTTAAATCTGTCAATATAATGAGCAATAACATCTCAGGTTGCTATTGCATGAAACATTTCTAAAAAGATCTGTCTGAAGTTATTCTTTATTTCCCTTATTGTCAACTAAACCCTTGACACACAGCACAACAACGTTTTAGGCCGTCCGTCAATACTTTCTGATTCCCCAAACATGAAGAAACATGAAGAAACTGTACACTGATGGGGACTATTTCTCATTGCAGATGAATCCACATTCAGTGTTTGAGTGAGTATTTGGGGAGGAAAGACGGTTTTTGAGTCAGGACTGAGTAAAAATACAGCGCGTGTACATTGTAATGAAGGAACACGTCACCCAGAGCAACAATGGAGCTCGATGGCACGGAGGAAGAAGACGACGCTTCAGACAATAAATGTTGGATTAATTGATTGTTCATTTGGCTCTTTTCATGGGATTTATATCACAAAGGATATATCAGCCATACCCTTTACATTATGCATATGTTATATAAAATATGGCAGTCTTCAGCAGAATAATGATCTTTTAATATCCGGTCTCATATATTCACAGCGGATCCAGGGATTCTAACAAGTGGCAGTTTGAAGCGCTGTAACATGAAATATCAGCCACCCATGCAGTGTGCACCTGTGTGCGACCTGGCTGTGTGAACGTGGTGTTGTGTCTGACCTTCTTGTGTGCGCTGAAGATCCTCCGGAAGGAGTCTGGGTTCTTCTCGGTAGCTTTGCTCTGAGTTTGCCTCCTGGTAGCCCCGGCCACCACTCTGAGTCCGTCCTCGGAGAAGTCCAGGACTTCTGCGGACAAAAACATAGTCAGTCGGGATGAATAGAAATCTTTATTTCACTGGGATTGTTGGTGTGACGAGACGGAGAAGGAAACATGGTTTGTTAGTGCTCTGTGTGGGAGGATGGGTTCACAGTGTCTCTGTGTTGGGGGTAAAAACAGTATGTTTGTGGTGATGTGGGCGCTCTGTGTTTACATATCAGCATTACACAAAGCACATGACCTTTAGTCTTCAATCAGAAATGCAGCCTGTTTATACTAGTTACGTCTAAGACTGTTCATTATCCAGCAATGCAGAGAGATTTACCACAGAAAGGGAAAGAGAGAGTGTGTTTGTGTTTCTGACCTGTTCGTATCCGGCTCTCCTGCCTCGCAGAGTATATCTTGTTCTCCTTCGGTGCCGGTCTTTCTTCAATCTCCAGCCTTTCGAAGGGATCTGGCGGCTCATCTTCTATCTCATCTTCCGGCTCATCTTCTGGGATTTCCTCCACTGTAACCACCGGGGTTCCCATGGCGACGGCAGCCTTCTTGGCCCTCCGCCTCTCTGAAGAGCCGTAATCGCCGTCATCCTCGGCGCCGTCGCTGTCGCTCATGTCATCAAATCCAAAGTATTTGATTTTGTAACTGGATCCGCCGTCTGCGTTGTCTGTCGCGCTGTCGTCCTCCTGACGGGCGTCCGCGTCTTCGAAACCAAACAGGTCCAGCTTGCTGTCCTTCTTTGACTTGGTCTGGGTCGGCCTGAACCTGAGGCGAGGACACGCACACATCGAAGGAAACAGTTTACATCCTACAGACTTGAAAAAAGAGGAGCTTTGTTTTTGAATTTCAAAACGAAACCAAAATATTAATTAGTTTTTAATGTGATGCAGTGAGTCTTTACACCTGTCCAGTTCATTTCTTAGTTTCTAACTTCAGGCCTCAGTAAAATGTGTCCAACATTTAATTAATACTTCCACGAGACTCTTCACTGTTGAGGAAACTAATCTGTTAATTTCCATTCGTGTAATAAAAGTCAAATTAATTAAAATGTTGTTTCTTGCAGCATTTCAAAATTCACAAGACATCCTGCGGCAGTAAGGGAGAAAAACTATCAGTAATAAAACCACTGAGCGTTTACTGTCCTTGGCAAAACAAGACCAAATTAAAATACTAGTTGAACCCAGAACCTCGCACTGAAAGATGAAAATATGTAAAAGATGTGAAATGAAAAGCTCCAGAAGGTTCAGTAACAGTAAATGTCCCTGAGTGAGCAGACACATACCTTCATACCAAGTCTGTTCAAGCAATTTGCTTTTCTTATTTCAGTGAAACCATTCAGACAATATTTGGAGAGAAGTTCTGAAATCAGACAGCAAGGAACGCTGAGTCTTCTTCCATCACTGCTTTACCCAGAGAGGAACTGAATCTGGTTTAATCTACGACACCGTGATAGATTAACACCATTTATTTCCCCTTGAGTAGCTTAAAGGTTGTTCAAATCCTCTCACACCACAACGTCTGAAACTAACACACACCTGTATATGCTCAGTTTGTTCCAGCAGTTTATCGAAGCTATGAGATGTTTTAAAATATTCAGCTGATGTTGGAACAGATTAAGAGAAAGAAATAATTTATCTCAGCCTGAAACGGTTGGAAACATCTCACTGCCTGCTCTATTTAGTCCATCTTCAGTTCAACAAGAAGAAGAAGAAGTTCTACCTTGTGTTTTGTTGTTCCGCCTTCTTCCGCTGCCATCCCGCGTCTCCGAGCTCTGTCGTAGTGCCAGAGCCGGCACTACTGCTACCACTAGATGGTGCTGCATCACTACTAAACTCTTCCACTCCTCTGCCCTGGATGGTGACGTTACACATCGATATGGAAGAGGGGTGCAGCACTGTGTAGTCCCTCGTCCTGCCTCGTCCCCCTCCACTCGTCTTATTACTGCCATCAGACGAGGTTTTGGGAAGATCTGTGTCAAAAGCAGCGCTCGCACAGCCGCTGGAGTCCGAGGCTTTGCCAGAGCCTTGTTTGGTCGGCCTCCTGTACGTCCGACAGTTAGTGTTTCTTACGAGCGAAGAGGAGGAGGATGTCTGGGAGTAGTCTGACGTCTCCACAAGGAAGTCCAAGTCACCCCCAAAGTCCTCGCTCTCGCTTGGGCTCTGGAGCCGTGGAGGAGAGGGGGCCTTCTCACGCCGGGTCTGCCCCACGTCACAGCTGCCCGCGGTGACGCCCGCCGTAGCCCAAGAGAGCGTGGGGGCGGGGTTGCGAGGCTCCTGGCTGGGCGAGGGTGGACGGAGACCCATGATGTCATCCCAGGAGTCGTAGGTGGACTCTGCCTTGGACCCTGTCTTTAGGGTGGTGGTCTGCGCCAGGGGCTTCTTGTCGCTTTCAGAAGCGTTTTGGTACCACGAGTAGCTGTGCTGGTTGTCCGGCAACAAGGAACTCTGCTGGGACTTCCCTGTGGAAGAGGAAGGATGGGAATCAAATACAAACATCAGCTGTTGGTATAACAATCAGAATGAAATGTAATTAGGTCAGAAAGATATTTTAACCTGATAGTCAAAGCAAATGTCTCATTTATCGGGGAAAGAAAAAAAAACCCAACCAAACTAACAAACCACTAAAAGTACAATAAAATACAACAATAAAAGTTCATATAAATTCAAAAGAGACAAAAAAAAAAAATCATATTTTTAAACTAATTTTGATTATTTTTTGATAATGATATAAAAGTTGTTCGGATACTAGTATCGGAAGGGCCTCCGATATGGGATCGGGAATCAGCGAGTATGTCTGAGCACCAATCTGGACCCGTAATGTACCAGACCCAAAACAGAACCCGGATACTTCCCAGCAGACCCTGACGCGTCGTATCGGTCAATACACAAAGTTTTCAGGAAAGAGTATCGGAACATCTCTAGTCAACAGTCACATGTAAGAAGCTGGAACCGGAGAATGTTTCAGCACCGATGTCAACAATGAGCGGTGGTTTACGGAGACTTTTCCTCCAAGGCTGCAAACATCTGTTTCCCAACATATAAAGTTTTCACACCACTAAACGGTGCAACCTCCAGAATCCACTCTGGTACAACAATGAAACACTGTGGTGCACAAAATGATTGCACCATTTCAAAAAGTTTACACACTGAAAACAGGTCACACACAAACACAGCTGGAGCTGCTACCGAGCTTCACGTCAAACGCTCATTTTCTTCAACAACAATCAGAAAAGGGTCTGGACCCATTTTGCCAGCACAGTACGCACACTCTGGTTATTAGCGTGGTCGTTTCTGCCTTCACAGATAACAAACGGGTGACAATACCGGACTCGTTACTCTGAGAAAAAGACAGGAAATTGCTTCACAGTGCAACATCAAAGAATATCTGTATCTGCTCTGTAAAACCGCAGTGGCTCTGGAAGGCTCCGGAGCGTAAAATAGAAAGTCGACCACGTCGCCACTTGTTGCCACCATGATCGAGGGCATGTTTGTGCCACCTGCTTCTTATAGATAAATGCATAAAGTTACTTATTACTCAAGAACAATTAACTTGGATGTGACAAGACCTGCAAGTCTTTTTGGTCTGGATGGCACCAAAAGGTCAAAGGTGTCTCAGGTTTGTGGATCCTCTTGATCTTTCACAAAATCAGCTCTGTTCGGATTTTAGGAAGTCTAACGTGGCGACAAGTGGAGGAGGTTTTCAGGTCTTACTCCAGGACACACTAGCTGTAGTGTGGGGGGGTTGTGATGAGTTAGACGAGGACTGATAATCCTCCATACTGGACCCTCGCAGACATGAGCAAACGACAAAATGTACACCTTCCAAATGAAAGTCTATGTGACTCCTCTGTGAACCCACAACAACAACTAACCTCCGCAGGAAAGAGGCTGCAAAGGGAAGAGCCTCATTCATTCTGTTTGCACATGCAGACATCACACCCTGATTGCAGAAGTTCAGATAAGCTCTTATTGTTTTTGAGAAACCAAACGGCCTGGGCTTGTTCTTTTGTTTTTTTAAATAATGTGCGATGTTGACACTATTGCAAAACGTGCAGTGAGCGAGAGACTTTCAGTTCTTCTTCAGACCGTTCAGATGGCAGAGCAGGTGCTGGCCTGGGTGACGCTCACACACATCGAGGACCGTCCGTCTGGAAACCAGCTGCTCCAGATATTGAGAGAAAAAGCTCAGACAATAAGTGATTGAAAGCTTTTAGAAAATCCAACCTTATATATTCAAATAACTCAATACATAAACCCAATTCTTCCCCCTGGTGTGGAGGGGTGACACTTTAGGAAACCTGTAAAGATGACAGAACAAGATGAGACCTGATGTCAGGGTGTGTCCCAGCTCGTATATGTGAGTGTGTGTGAGTGTGTCAGCTTTACGATGCTTCAGTTATAGTTTGTTTCATCATTTAAATAACAAATAATGTCAAATGCCCACTACAAAAAAACCTGGACCTGAATGAAACTACAGTTTGCTTTATAGCTGAATTTCTCTCCATCACATCACTGATCTTAATACAGTAGGGGACCATTTAATGAGGGTTTCTCAGCCGTGTGTGCCAGGCTGTGACTGTTAGTCTCTCTTCAGACCCATCGGGAATTAAAAAGCACTTTTAAAAGCAGCCGCAGGACAAACGAGCCTCTGTCCACCTGAGAAATGTCACTGAAATCGAGGGAAAACTGCTGTTTTCACTGAGCGCGGCTCCGCTGAAGCATGTCGGCGTATCATTAACTAACACGGCTGGTTTCGCTTTATTCTGTTTCTCTCTCAATCACAACACTGCGTATCAGGAAACAGCTGCGACAATGAGGGCCGGCGTACGAGGAGCACAGCATCAGCCTTTAATGCAGAAAGTCTACAGTGACTTATAAATAAACTTATTGCTCAAAAAAAGGAATCTAAATTCTCTTTTATGTGGATTTACTAAAAGCCTGACAGAGTTTATATGCTGCTGTCACTTTCCACACCTTTAGAATATAACATCTATATATAATAAACTGTCTGATGCTCTGTCATATCGCCACACTATATCTAAAGAGGTATTTGCTCGAGGATTTTCTCATATTTACTGAGTCAACATCGCCGGCCTTCGTGAGCAGATAACACTGTTGATGGCAGCGTTTCAGCTGAACTTCGGTGTCGGCTCAGTGTTTCTAACGCTGTGGAGCCGCAGCGCTCACTGAGGCACAGCTCGTTGTTCAGTCAGCTGGAGTGGCTCGCGTCTCTGGCAGGTGGCCAGCAGCGGTCAGGGAAAGCCGAGCTGAAGAGCGGCGACACACCGACGACGGCCGGCTGTGAGAGGAAAACAATCAACCTGATTTCTGCGACGCCGTTCGGTCAAAAGTGAAATCTTTTCATCTAAAACTGGACCTGTATCTAAATCCTTTATCATCTGAGGACGCCAACAGACTGCCGTCGTATCTGTGCGTCTGCTCAGTCCCCGCTGAACGAACAGGTGACGCTCATCCTGGACAGAAGCGTTTCCATTTTGATGGATACGAGAGTTCAGAGAGGCTAAATGTTTTCACACCCGACTGAAGCCACTCCGAGTCGGCTTCTGTTTACTCAACAGCTCCAATGAGACGTTTTATTGTCGCCGTTACATCAAAAACAAACAAAAAAAACGCCTGGTTTTCAGCCCCTTCGACAACCGCTCAGTGTGGCAGCAATTAATCACATCATAAATAAATAAACTGTTTTATGTCCAAAGGAAGTCTGCAGTTTCTGTAGTAAACCATCGTAACGGCTGTTCTGTCTGTATAACTCTAAAGTGAAGATCTGAGGGTTTTTATATCCGATCGTCTCACGGGGATCTATCACTCACTTTATAGATCAGTTACACTAATCAATACGTCATCTAGTGGATCTGTCGGGTCTGTGAATGTTGAAGGAGTTCGGTCTCGACCTGCTGAGAGAACTTCTGAAATAAAACGGATTAGTCCAGAACCAGTCAGACTGTGTGTTACCTAAGCCGGCACTGCTGCTGTTGAAGAACCGAGCCGTGTCCTCCAGCACTCTGGGCGGGTCGTTGGCCGGCCACGACGCCCCTCTAGCGGACGCCAAAGCGTGGGATCCTCCCTGGAGGCTGGACCTGCTCCCCGCATCCAAAGAGACGCCCGGCCTCTCCGCTCGGGGGGGCTCCGCCGAGGCCGGCTTGGCGGGCGACGACTTGTTGCCGCTGCGAGACGACACGGGCTTGGACTCCTCGTCGCTGTCGAATCCAAACGGATCCTCCAGGCCGTCTCCGGACGGACGGGGCCTCTTGTAAACCCCCAGGACGGAGTCGCTCTTGGGAGCGCCGGCGCGCTTGGAGCCCACCTTGGCCTTGTAGGTGGTGTCGCCCCATTTGGTGCTGAGGGTGCCTCTCTTGGTGGACAGAACCTCGTCGAACTTGGACGTGCCCTCTCCTCCCTTGCGGCTGTAGGTTTTACCGAATCTGGATGTCATTGTTGCATCTGGGTCATATTCTCTGAGAGGAAAGAGTCAATAAGAACATCTGTCAGGTTTATTTAACTGTACAGGCAGTCCTCAGCTCAGTTAGCTGCTGTCACATTTACAGGTTTTATTTTCAGTCCACATCAGAGGCCTTTAATATTCTGATTAACAAGCATTATTCAATAAAATCGGTTCATTTTTTTACCACAGTTTGAACCCTAAAGCATTCAGACTCAGGTTAATACAGACGAATCGGAGCTAATAACGTGAATTTTGGTCTAATAACGTGAATTAACAGCTTGAACACTTTCAACCAGCTGACAAAACAAGGCTACCGTTAGCGTGCTAATGGCGCTCAGCTCCTCAGCACTGATCGGACGGAAACCCCCCCACAACAACCCCCCCGCCGGGTGAGCAGAGCCACACAGAGCCGTTACATCAGATGCATTAGAGGGGAGATAAATATATAAATATATAAATATATAACCCCCCCCCCCCCCCGCCGCCTTTAAGTTACCATCACCGTTAGCTCGAGTTGTAGCCGTTAGCATTAGCAGCTGAAGCTAACCGCTAACAATAACTACGAAATGACATCGCGTCACAACCGGGATTAAAAACCGAGCACGGGGCCGTTTCACAGCCGGTAACCGAGCACCGGCTGCTGCCCGCGGATGCACTTACTTGGTGAGCTGAAGGGCCGAACCGAACAGAACACACTGCGGACCCGAGGCGGCCGCGGGAGTCGAGCAGGACCCGGTGGGCCTGCTGCGAGCTGCACAGTATAAACAAGGCCGAACAGACGCCCTTAACGGCGAATCAGCGGGATCGAACTGCGACGGAGAGGACCGCAGAGCCGGACGGTGGAGGACAGGGGCACTTTATCAGCACATCGACCGGAATCGGTCCTTTTTCAATCTAAATCGGACTCGATTGTTTCTCCGGGCTGCGACGAACACCTTCATTGGAATCTCCCGCTGCGTCAAGCTAACCGGAGAAGAAGGATGTGACGGAAACCGTCCTTCAAAATAAAAGCATAAGCGGCCCATACTGAACAGACTTCGACTTTTTTAGATAGAATGGCCTTTATTGTCACTATACACATGTACAATGAGATTAAAAGCCAACTCCAACAGCAGTTAAAAAAAAAAGTGTAAGAAATATACAAATATATACAGTATAAAGATAGGACATAAAGTAATAAAGGGAGGTAAGGTCCTGAGGAGTATGTACTGATTTGTCATTTGCATTTGCATCTAAGAAGGAATTTAACGTTGCAATGGCACATAGGCACAGCAGGATAGAAGGGGAAGGCAGTATGTTACAAAATATAAGGTATGCAAATAAAAAAAGAAGAGAGAAAAAAGCTTTTGTATAAAAGACCAGTAAGATAATATATATTGTGTATATGTAAAATAAACGACAATTTAGGTAGAATTACTTGGATTAGACTTTCGCAAATTGTGGATTTAATACAGACCCTTTCATCTACGTATAATTCAATTTCACGTCAATAAATTATTTAGTTAGGGTTTTGGCGGGGTGGTTTTGGCCTTGCTTCCGTTTTAAAATTACAACCGGAATTGCTCATATGTATTATTTCTACCTTCACACTAGTGGCTTCATCAATCTTATCATTACAAATGCCGCGTTCAGGTGCAACCATTAAACTCGTAAAAAGGTACATTTCATCTGACTACCAGTGAATATGTCATACATAATGCTGCAACTCCTGGAGAGAAAAATGGAAACTAAATAATCAATTAAACAACCAACAAAGTTCATGAAAAAAATGTTTCAAGTTACTGAGGAAAGTTTATTGAAATAAAAACAATCTGAACTTCATCTGGCATTAGTCTTACAATGTGCAACAACAACATTATTATACTGGAGCCACAGGCTACAACCACTAACAATAAAAACAGTAAAAATCAAATCACAAACACCGGAGGCAAATCAACTGCCAATAACTGATTAAATACATATGGTACATAAAATTGAAGCACTAAAGAAGACATTAAATAACAACAATTTTACCCAAACTAGAAATCATTTCATAAGCAGCGAATAAATCATACAAAAAATAAAATGTTTCAAAAATATTTTTGGAAGCTGTTAGTTTGTGGTGCTGTTGAACTGTTGCATTATACTAAGAGGTGTTTTTGGCCATTAATGATGGTAGTTCAGTGTGGGCGGCTGCTACTCCCTCAGTGCATTGTACATGTAGAAAATGTCCCCTGACCAGTTTCTAAGAAAACAACAAGGCACAAAGCATTATGGGGCATTTTTGATATACCAATGACTCCAGAACAAAACTTTAGTCTGTGTTCGATGAATATGCAGAGACTTTGTATACTGCAGAATAGAAACACACAATTTCCTGTTATTAACCGTATATATCCTCACATACTTGATGCATAACTGTGATCTTAGAAGCTGAAAAACATTAGAAATAAAAGTTGCATGATATCTAACAATCATTTTCATCTTGATGTCTAACTGATTTCTAACCCTCCACTGTTACACAGACCTTTACAGGCAGTATTTTCAGAGGGAGGGCATTCCTGGTGCAAAGGAATGGGCACAATTTCTCAGTGAAAGTGTGTGTGAAGGTGTGTATGTGTGTATTAGTGTCAGGATCAGAAAATCTCAGCTTTCCTTTATCCCAGTCCAGATGAACTCTTATCCTCTGGAGCTTCTCTCTGACTGCCACATTGGTGTATTTGTTTGTTGGGGAGAACGCTCTGTATCCAACACTGCTGAAGTCTACACTCCATACTGTAGACCCCACGAATCCCTGCCTACCAACAGACTCTGTTAACACTCCCAGTTCCCAGTCTTTGTTGTCTCCAACCTCAACATCCCAGGCAAAGAGTTCCAGGAGCGGCCCCACTGCTGGAGGACCCACAGCTCTCTCAGGAGCCTCTGGATAGACGGAGCCATAATCCATTTGGGCAACCTGACCTTCAACACTGCGAACAAGCTGAAGGACATGGTCTCCTACAGTCCTGGTGATTCTGGGATCCAAACACTGCCAATCAGAGCCTCATTCTGCTGAAGATCCTGACCAGTGTCAGACACGCGAAAGAGACAGCAGCTTCCAGAAAAACCCAGAAGAAGGTTTGATACTGGATTTCTGTCCTGGTTTAAGAATTATAACTCAGGGAACAT